GCCTTTCAGGCCTGACTTTCTGAACTTCCTTCAGATTTTTTAGTTTTTTCTTCTGAGCAGAAGAAGAAGAAGAGACGAACATTTTCCTTCTCATCCTGATTCAGTCCGGATTTTTCCATAACTTCAAACAGCTGGAAAATCTAATTAAATGCGACGAATCATGAAATATTTTATGCTCTCAAAAGGAGACTTTTAATAAATTCAGTTTAAATGTCAGAATAAGACATTTTTCTTCCAGTGGAGTTTTTTCTGATTAAACGTTTGATCCAAGCATCCCAGAGCAGAACGTCCGCCATAGAACAGGAGGAGCCATCAGAGCGAGGACTGAATATCTAACAGATGATTTCTATACCTGCTAATGTTCTTTCTCTGCTTAGGGAGCGTTCAGAGGTTCTGTTTGGGAGGAAGAACCGAACCCAGAGGGAGCAGCTGGGTCACGTCTCCTCCTCTGTTTGTTGCTTCAGGATAATGAGTCCTTGCAGCTCATCTGATCCGTATCTCTGCAGCCAGAAACGCCGCAGAGAACAAACCGACGAGTGAAACGGACTGAAAGGGAAACGCTCTGATCTGCAGCTTTAAACACCTGCTGGACAGAAAACAGCAACATTTATCTCTGAGACGGAGGAAATATCTACACCCAATCTTATGCAACTTGTTTATAAGAAAAAATAAAAATATATATGCAGATATCAGGGCTGCAACTAACGATTATTTTACAAACTGATTAATCTGTCAATTATTTTTTCAGTTAATGGATTCATGACCAGATAGCCAAAAGTTCTTTATAGACTTTTTATGAAATGAAAACAGGTGAAACTAAAACTTTATAGAGCAGATTGACAGACAGAATCGTTTTTATCTCAAATGTAAAATGCTTACATATTTCTTTAAAATCTTGGTATAATTCCTGCTGTCAGTGGATCGTTCTGTCAGCTTAAAGCGTGATTTACAGTCTCTATACTCCAGTTAACGATTAATTGATTACTAAATTAGTTGACGATTATTCCAATAATCGATTAATCTGTCATCGATGGATTTCACTCAGTATTTTATCTTTGCAAAGAGAGAAAAGTTCATCAAACTTATTGCTTGGTAATCAGCCCTGTTCTGCCTGAGCAGCGTTAGTTTCTACTTACTGACTATAATGGAAAGTTAGAGAGTCGAAATAAATTAGACACTTTGGTTAAACAGCAACATGTTAGGAATAAACCTGAGAAAGAATCTGGTTGGTTATGGAAGAAGGTACGTCTGCGCTACAAACATCCTCACCTGGGGAATCGTTCGCCTTACAGGTGAAACAGGCTGAGTGAGTAAAGAGGAAAAATATATGAAATAAGAGAAATCTAAATATTTGACCACAGAGCTGAATATTTGAAACCCAGTTCATCTTTCATTATTATTTTTATTATCATGGATGATGCCTCCGCCTGATAATGACGTCAGCTTGTGGGGTGGGGGGTGAGAGTGTGATCTGGAGTCAGTGAACGCATCATGACAGATGGATGTGAGGGGCGAGAGAGCTGTGATGACACTGAGAGAGAGAGAGGAGAGACATTCCTCATCACTGGAGATGACAGAAATTCCCAGTAAGCATCCAGAACCAGAACCAGAACCAGAACCAGAGCCAGAACCAGAACCAGAACCAGAACCAGAACCAGAGCCAGAACCAGAACCAGAACCAGAACCAGGGGGCTGAAAGTGTGGAACAGGTGTGATTAATGGAAGAGCGGCGCCCCCTGGTGACTTTAATCCTCCTTCATCTTTAAGAAACAAAGACGTTTCATTTTCTGTTGTTTGTTTTTTTTTTTTTATTAAACACCTCATCTGTTTTTATTCTTGATTCTTTTCCAGAAGTTCAAACTCCACTCGTCACTGAAAGCGACTCATTAGATTCACCCTAAACTGTCTGGGTTCCTTAATATTCTGACTTCTGTTTATCTGGTTCTATCAGAACTGATCTATGATTCTAGTTCTCCTGTTGCTGGAGAGCAGAACCGCCCAGGTTCTGGATCTGTGGCTGCAGGGCCACAGGTGTGAGGCCTCACCTGGTCAGCAGCGCCCCCCAGTGTCCGGGCGTATCTCTGCAGCTGCTCCCTGACCTTCATCATGCGGTGGTAGAGCTGCAGGCTGAGGGTCAGCAGGAGGCTGCGCACCCTGGTCCAAAGGCTGGGCTCATCACCATCATCTTCATCTTCGTACTCCTGAACCCTCATCTCCCACTC